TTATGTCCTTTAACGCGATTATTATTTATTAAATTAGCTTTGCGCATCGTTCGTTGAATTCTGTTCGGACACGGAATTATTTAAATTCAAATATCATTTATGTACTTCGACTGGGTTGCTTATTGTTAATCTTCACTGTATATATCGCATACAAATTTCATACGGTACACGTGAGAAAATTAAAACGGTTGTCACGGTTAAACTACATATTATTTCGGGACCGAAAATTTAGTAAACATTCTTCAGACATTCTGAAATAAGGATGAATAGCGTTTTTCTTGAAATTATCACTGTCACGTGGTAAAAAAATATATCAAAAGTTCATGCTCCGTGACTTGTTCATTGATTCGGACGCCGCACACAGACCCTCCTTCAACTGTCAAACTCAGCGGTAAACGCACGTGCCGCTCGGCCGATCGATAACCATATGGTTCGCGCCAATTCGTCTCATTGGCCAGTGTTTTTCGTTAATAACTTGCAAACGAAGCCGCGGATTGCATTTTCGCAAAGGAAAAAGTTACTTCAAATGACCTCAGCTACCCCTCATTTTCGGCTGTTAAAATAATTGTGGGACACCCTGTATATTACATGTGACATATTACACGTTACATATTACATGTTACATATTACATATTACATATTACATATTACATGTTACATGTTACATGTTACATGTTACATATTACATGTTACACATTACATATTACATATTACATATTACATACATATCGCTCCTAGATTGTTCAGAGAACAAATTAAAAACATTACTCACGAGATAAACGACGATCGGAGAAGCTCGAGATAATATAAATCGGTGAAAATTGAAATCGATTGAAAATCGACTGAAAATCGATTGAAAATAAATGCAAGAATCGATACGTTTGGCAGTGATAATAACCAGCGACAATTACGTTATCAAATCGAATTAATTTTAGAACGGAAGTAACCGGAAAATTCGAATGTGGTCCAACTATTAATACCACGTGACACAAAGTAGCATTCGCATGATCTCACCATCGATTATTCCTTCGAGAACAATGCCGGTCCCTTGATCGACGATCATTCCTGTGATCGGCGACACGAATGTCTGCGCTGTCGATTTTCTGGTCGATTTTGGCACCTGTGACGTCACTTTCGTGTCACGTTTGATCCCTTCCTCGTCCTGAGACAGCACCACCGTTATTTCCTGTCGGATCTCACCCGGCAAATCCTGCATGATTTTTACGTGTCCCTCGGGTTACGTTAAATTATAACCTTAAAAAGGTTATAATTTAAGTTATATATTATAATATAATAATAATATAATAATAATAATAACAATATAATAATAATAATAATAATAATAATAATATAATTTATATAATTTAAATTATCCGACAGAGATAACTTGTTTCTTCGAACGAATTGAAATCAACGATAGAAAGTAATCGAAATAAAATATTCGAACATCTTCTTTCTTTTTTGATTTATTCAGGGGGAACGTCGAGGATTCGAAACTCGCTGCCACCAACACAACAACGTCGTTGTCGTCGGTGATTAAGCACGCCGAACTTCCAAAGGTTTCCGAATTGGAGAAGAAGATGGCGTTGATCGATGTTTCGAGACCGGAAATCTGTGAGTCGAACGGAGAAAAAACGGTCGACAAGTTTGTCGCTATGGAAAGGATAGTGGAGGTAATTCGAAAATTAAACGTTAATTATGATCTTTTTATCTTTATAATTTTCATATTTTTTCTTCAATTGTTTGAATACTTTTTGTCGTACGATAAATCCGGCGAAACGAAGGAAACGTAGACTTTACGAGTTAAATTACGGATGAATTTACGGTTAAATTGTTTAAATATCCGTTCGTTGCAGGACAAGTCCGGCAAGATCGTGAAGGAAGTGACGGAAACGACAACTTTGCGCGTGTCTCACGACACTCGGCTGGGAGTGACATCTTACAAAGTGATATCCAACACCGTGCAAGATCATCGTGAAAACGTTGATGTTAAAGAAATCGAAGATCTGGAACGCATCGTGACACCGGACGCCTATGAGAAAACGAATGGCCACCATCGCGAACCGGAACTCGGATCGAAAAGTGAGATCCGTTGGTATTCAATCTCGTCGCGCCGAAACCACGTTATTCTACGATTACTTATTATATTCTACAATTAGTAATTGTAGAATAATAAGTAATAGTATAATATAATAATAAGTAATTTATTCTACAATTACTCAAGTATTTGTAACGCAAATTTTTTAAGCTAATTACAAGGCAATTATAACATATAAGTAGCTTAAAGTTTGCGTTACAAATATCAAAATTGCGTTATAAATATAACGTTATAAATATAAGTTAGAGATTAATTCTTTAATGCGAAAAAATTTTTGATAAGAATCGGCCAACTTCGACCGACGATAACTCCGCGAAAAATGATCGTAGGATGATGACTTTTCTTTTAAATTAAAGCTTGAAATCTCTACTTTAAGACACCGGTCCTCGATTTTCAGTATAAAATACTCTCACCACTGCGACGCTTCAAATGTCAAGCCATGTTTATGGCATCGAAATCGCCAAGTTCGACGAAATGCACGGACGTTGTAAAATTTTTCAAGGGGATGCCGTTTGCACCAGAACGGAGCTCGATCCTTCCCCTACAATCTCGAAAAAAGCAAACCCGGCTGCGATTATTTCCCGCGAAGTTACAGCACTTCGAAGTAACCCTTGCGTTGTTTCATCCCTTATCAAAAATTTGTCAACGCTGTAATATTGTTGCCACGCTTAGCCTAGTGTATAAAAAAGTCGATGTTTCCCAGGTGAATCGTACAGCCGCCGTGACGAGCTGTCGACGAGAACCGACGACGGCGAGCGATCGATCAAATTCACAAAGGTCAGCGAGCGAAGAGTCGAGGAGGAGAGGCCGGCGGCGACGTCTCCGGCGGACGGTTGCAAGGAGATGACGTTGACCTTGAAGGAGTACACCAGGCACCACGAGGACAGCGGTATCGAGATGTCGCCCACGAAGAGGGAGGACAGCCTGGAGGGTCAAGATTTCCTCGAGAAGGCGAGGAAGGTGAGTCCGATAGACGGGCCGTCGATCAACGGCGGAGCTGGCAAGCGTTGCTGCAGCTGCAGCTGCAACTGCGGCCACGAGGCCGCGTGCTTCGATCGCTACTCTGTGCAGCAGAGTTTCGTCGAGCTTTCTGCCGTTAACGAGAACCGTCGCCGTTTGCCGCTGTCTAACGCAAGCTAGCTGCCGCATCTCTGTGATCCGTGTGTGCGCATCCGCGTCGAAAAATTTCGACACTGTTTTCCCTGCGTGTAGCGCAGATCGATTTGGCGTTGATCGGCGATGCGCCGATCGATGGTTCAGCGACTAATTATTCAGCGATGCAATCGCGTTACCAGACGCCGTGTTTACTGGCAGGTCGCTTGCTTTTGTTTCGAATTTTTAGGCTAACTTTCTCGGCGAACGAACACTTTATTCATATTCGGATATTCGTTGAACGACCACTTTTACGCTGATAATAGCCTGTTCAATTTTAACCCTTTGCACTCGAGCGGTGACTCCAAGGCACCAGTGAAATTCTTAGATTCTAAGGTTCTAAGATTATTTTTATATTATCGAAGCTTAGATTTTAAATATTATTAAATGTGTAACTGTTGCACGAATCACGGGACGCAATTTCGCGTGCATAAAATGCACTTTGTCGTGTAAAATGGAAATACTGTGAGTCAGAAATATTGTTTTAGATTGACTGTTAAAATGGCTCCGAGCGCAAAGGGTTAATATTTATCTCGATTTTCAAATAGACGAATAAAAGCCTTCGTCACGGGTCTGATACAATGTCATGGGGGTTATCAGGGGGTTGAAATGACCGTTATTCAACCCTCTGTACAATAGAACTGCGGTAAATTTTGCCATAATTGTCGCTCAGCTTGTATCCAAAAAAGGGCAATTTGATGACAATGATAAACATAATAATCTTATCTCATCTTCTCAAATTATTCATTTCAATTGTCCATGAAAGCTGAGCGACAATTGGAGAGAATTTACCGTGTACTGTATAAATTTTCATGTAAAAATACGACCGATAATAACGAATGTAGTAAGTTAATGTAAAAATATAATGAATATAATAATAGTAAGAGCAACGATAATTAAATGTAAAGACAAACGTTGCTTCTTCGTATAAAATGGAAAGTGTTCATTCGCTGGGAGCTGTTCATTCACGTTAGACTATTAGACGGTTCATTCTACTACCGTTTGTATCGAATTGTTCAATTGTTGTAAATAGTTCAGCGTTCTCGTGATATTTTATTATTTTATTAGAGACAAAAATAATAATATAGTTTTACTATTCCGTAGAAAATAATATAACGATTACAAACGAATGGAAATTGTAATTACGACGATACGCTGTTCGCAATGACCAGTTCGCTATTAACCAGTGGCGCTATTAATTTATTAATCAGTTAGTCGTGGCGCCTTTTTTTAAAAGCGCGCACCCTATATGTGTCGCGAGAATCAAGCAATGACGATTATACTCGTCAAGCACGGCTAACTGATTAAGAAAAGGTATTATTGCGAGCAAGCTGGCAGATTAGTTTTCAAATTTCACAGCGAAGCGAGCAGCGAGAACCGCGTTGCGATAGAGAAGTCTGTTTCATTGAACGTACGCGAGCAACGTAGGAACATTTAATGCATGCAATGTGTCATCGAAATCGTTAGCGTGCCATTGATTGATAGATATGTTAACACCTTTAACGCCTAACTCGAGAAATACAGAAAGCAGCATTTTCGTTTTGGAACGACAGTGTTTTTTAACGATCGCTAATCGTCGTTGTTGTTTGTCACACTTTTTACAATACGCATGGCTTTTCCCCGTCGATCTTGTAAATAAAGCGTTTCACCTAATCAACTAAAGTGTGTTTGTACCGGCAAGAATTATATCTGGAAGCTCCGTCGGTAAGTTACGTAAGTATGTGCAAGCAACGGTGCCGCATCGAACCGTGTGCGATTCGAAATATCGAGAAATATCATTGAAAAAATAATTAAAACGAAAAATAACGATCATCGAAAGAAGATTATTCGATAGGAACATCGAACGTCGCAGCGAGAAACTTCGTGAGAAACTTCATCGCGAACGAAACTTCGTTGCGTCGCGATCGATTTCGAATTTAGCGGGCGACGAGTCGTCGTCGGTTTCCGCGAGCCGCCGGCTCCGCTCGGCGACGCTCGTCGAAGATCGACGAGCCGCGTTCGGGGCCGGTCGGGTTCGGCGGCATTCGAAACCGGCCGACGGTTCGGTCTCGGGCAGTCTCGGGTCGGCTTGCTTCTGCGACCGATCGACCGGTGTTGTGACACGATTGTGACATGTGTCACGCGAGTGTTGCTCCTGCTGCGGTTTACGTTGTGCTTGTCACTGCTTGAACGTGGGTCGACTTAGGTGATTGCCCGAAACCGATCGAGCTATACAGTACTATATTTCGATTCCGCGTTTCCCAAACAAATCGAGAATCACGTCTCGCAGAATTAACCTCGCGGCTCGACTAAAAGTCGTTCTCGAACGAATCTCGCAAACTGTTACGACAATAGAATATAATCTGTCGAGTCGTTTTAAGAGAAATTACGAAGACTTTAATTACGAAATTAACCTCGACAGGGAATAGGATATAGAATTTGGTCGTTTCGGTGTGAATCGTAGGGACTTGTTTCGACAAGAAATAGTCGAATTAGTCGAATTTCGTCGTTCCAAGAAAAATTACAACGGACTAATTCAACGAGTGGCGCGATGCACGATCGAATTATCGCGATAGAAATTACAGAGAGCGTTTTTATCAAGAAATACGATCGTGACGGGTTCTAATAGAAATTATAACAAATAGAGACTGCTCTAACAAGAAATACGATACGAGATCACGTAATTCTAGTAGAAACTACGGACACTATTTTGACAGGAAATACCGTATAGAATTCAATCGTTCGAACACGAATTATATACAAAGACAATTTCGACGAGAAATACGATAGGAAATTTCGCGATTCCGATCGACACTGCGGAGACACTGTTCTCGCGAGGAGAACGTCACAGAAATATTTCCGAAATACTCCGAATCTCGGTCATTTTCACGCGCGCGGACATCTTCGGTCCGCGACTCGTCGAATCGAAACGAAAATCGAAAGGTTATGTCAAGATTAAATTATTGAATGAAATTTCGCGATTCCGATCGACACTGCGAAGACTGTTCTCGCGAGAAGAACGTCACAGAAATATCTCCGAAATACTCCGAGTCTTGCTAATTTTTACGCGAAAATCGAAAGAGACTATATATACAGGGTGTCCCGAAAATGTCTCGCAATTCGAGAACGGAAGGTTCCCGAGGTAATTTGAAGTAAGTTTGTCCTTGGCGAAAATGCGATCCACGGCTTTGTTTACGAATTATTAACGAAAAAGAGTGGCGAACGAGAGGCGAGATATGCTGGCGCAAGGCGGCTGAACCAATGAGCGGAACTGGGCTTCGCGCGCTGATTGGCTCGGCCGCCAAGCGCTGGGCGAGCTCGCCTCTCATTGGTCAGTGTTTTTCGTTAATAATTCGTGAACGAAGCCGCGGATTGCATTTTCGCTATGGAAAAAGTTACTTCAAACGATCCGAGGAACTTCTCATTTCCGGTTTGCGAGACATTTTTGGGACACCCTGTATAGAATTCTGTCGGCGCGTTTCGCGTATTCCTCGACCTCGTTTTCCAGCTCGTCCTCGGCTCCATTCTGCTCGCCGGTCCGCCGTCGCGCAGCCTTGAAAACCGACGAAAAAAATCCCCGATCCCGAAATAATGTGCACGAATGTATCGCGCACGCGACTCCGGTTTCGGCGCGGACGCAGAGTCCTTGCTCGCTTCTTCGCCCGTGGCGACTATTGTCGACAGCGTCGACTCTGTTGACGACGACGGGACGAGGTGAGGGACAGGGGGGCGGGGGGAGGAGACACGGTGTTTCGTGTCGCGGACGGTCCAAGAGGAAAACAAGAAAAAAAACACTGTACGCGCGTGCATCGAGCGGCCGGTCGGTCGTTGCTCGTTAATCGGCCTCTACAAGCGTGCTCGCCGGCTTCGAGATAACGTGTAATTAGCCTGACATAATGCGACCGATAAAGCCGAACATTGTCACGGCGATAATTCGCGCGGAATTCGCGGCGGACCCGCATCTCACCGGCTCGTGATTTTTCGGCGGTCCGTACGATCTGTTATTGTCTTTCTCTTTCCATTTCTTTTCTTCTCTGCTCGCTTTCTTCGTCTTCTTCTTCGTCTTCGCCTTCGCCTTCGTCTTCTCCTTTTTCTGCCGGTTTTCTTCTTCTTTTTTTTTCTCCGGCCGTTTCCACGAGATTATCTGCGATCGTGGGTCGCGGTGTGGTGAACCTCCCGTTCGGAGAACGCCACCAGTCAGTCCGGTTTTATCCTCCCATTCGTTCGTCCGTGTCGGTGACGTCACCCCACAAAGATACCTATAAAGTATAAACACACCGACGGCCGAGCAAAAGGTGTATCCAGAGCTCTCGCTCTCGCTCTCTAGCTCGCTCTCTCTCTCCCTCTCTCTCGCGCTCTCTCTCTCTCTCGCGCTCTCTCCCTCTCTCTCGCGCTCTCTCTCTCTCGCGCTCTCCTTCTCGCTCTCCCTCTCGCTCTCCCTCTCGCTCTCCCTCTCCCTCTCTCTCGCTCTCTCTTGCTCTCTCCCTCTCTCTCTCGCTCTCTTTCGCTCTCTCTGTTGCTCTCTCTCTCACGCTCTCTCTCTCCCTCTCTCGCGCTTTCTCTCTTGCTCTCTCTCTCTCCCTCTCGCTATCTCTCTCTTGCTCTCTCTGTCTCTCGCTCGCTCTCTCTCGCGCGCTCTCTCTCCCTCTCTCTCTTTTGCTCCCCCTCTCGCTCTCTCTCCCTCTCTCTCTTTCTCCCTCTCTTTCTCTCTCTTTCTCTCTCTTTTTTTCTCTCTCTCTTTCTCTCTCTCTCCCTCTCGCTATCTCTCTTTCGCCCTCTCTTGCTTTCGCTCTCTCTCGCTCTCTTCTCCCTCTTGCCCATGATCTGAAATAGTCGCTCTGTCGGAGGATGGTAATTAAGCGAGCTAGACGCAGTCGAGATTCTCTGCTCTCTTTCTAAGGGATGATTTAATGGATCGCCGATCGGTAGTTTCTGTCGATGGTATTAATCAGTGGGATCGATTCGTCGGATCTTTATGCGAAACGATACAATAAATTGTCTTAAATCGTCGCTCAGCTTGTAAACAAAAATCAATCTCTTCTTCCCAGATTGTCCATTTTTGTGCGCAATTTCAACGCGAATTAGAGAAAAATATTATCGTATACAGGGTTCCTTTTTTAGGACAAATTTTTAGGAACGTAAGCGAGCGTGCTGGGGATCGTTTATAAGTTTATTCGGTAATTTAATTAATCGTCGGAAACGCTGGATTGTCGAATAACAGTATTTATTATTTCATTTCAAATCTATTATTATTATTATTATTATTATTATTATTATTATTATTATTATTATTTGTTAGGTTAAATTGGTTCAAACCAATATGACGATATTTTAGAAACGTCCCGACGTTTTTATCGTCTCGTTCTCGCTTTTGCTAGCGCGGATCGTCGGTACGCTCGTGATGGACTAAAAAAAGAAATCAAGGAGATTCTTAATAAGTATGTTTATCGCTCGCGGCCGTGCCAAAATAAATAATTTATCTTGAACATTGATAAAGTTCGATTCGAAATGCAAAAATAAGTTTCGATATTTCGAAATCATTTCGAATCTTTTAAACATGTTACCGAACTTCCAGAACCATTTCTCGAACCTTCTAAAAGTATTTCTAGTCTTTCGAAACCATATAAAATCTTCCAAAAAAATTTCCGATCTCTCGAAAACTATTTGAAATCCTCCAAAAATATTGCCGATCTCTCGAAACAATGAAAAAATTTTCAAAAATATCGCCGATCTCTCAAAAGCATTTCGAATCTTCCAAAAATACTTCCAATCTCTTAAAACAATTAAAAATCTTACAAAAAAATTTCCGATCTCTCGAAAACTATTTGAAATTTTCCAAAAATATTGCCGATCTCTCGAAACAATGAAAAATTTTTCAAAAATATCGCCGATCTCTCAAAAGCATTTCGAATCTTCCAAAAATACTTCCAATCTCTTAAAACAATTAAAAATCTTACAAAAAAATTTCCGATCTCTCGAAAACTATTTGAAATCTTCCAAAAAATTTTCCGTTCCTCCGAAAACTATTTAAAATCTTCCAAAATTATTTCCGATCCTTCAAAAGCGTTTAAAATCTAACCAAAATAATTTCCGATCATTAAAAACGTCTAAGTTATATTTTTTAAAATACGCGTCTCTCCCGAACGCGTCGCGTTCACGAAAAGTCTCCACGATAGTTCCACGCGTGCAGAGTGTCAGGTTGGTGCACGGAATCCCGATTCGAGCCATCTATTTTTATCGCCTCGAACATCTCGCATAATTTATTCCACGGTTGTACGTAGCTCCTCCGGTCGGGACGGAAAGCATGATCGAAAGTGAGGAGGAGAGCAGCGGAATTTTTCGCGGCTGCGAGAGCGCGCGCGTGTCCCGCCGAGAATTCCCTGTGTCGCTTCGAAACGACCGGTCGGGCCGGGCCGGGCCGTGCCGGGACACGGCGAGGAATCGTCGCCGGTCGTCCGCGGAATTCGCGGCGACGTGAGTTTGGCGGATCGCCAGAAATAACGTTAATCAGCGGACGCGGGCTCGGCGGTAACTGGAGAACGTAATTCCTGGTTTCGCCGATGCGATGGCCGCGCGCAACCGGGCATCAATTCCGACCCGAAAACGATCCGTTTCCGCGCGATCGCTCTCCCCGACTGTTTTCCATCCGCGGATGGCACGCGGGGCGCGTTGATCAACGTCGAAATGAATTCGCCATGGACAGACGGGATCTATTAAACCTTCGTTTATCGGCCGGCGCTGCACCGGCGGCAGCGCTGTTGGCTCCTGGACGCCGGCCAATTAAATTCTGTAATTCACGAACATCGAACGAGAAGTTCCGTGTTTCGGCAACGTCCTCGAATTTATTTACCAGGGCGTCCGTGAACGCTCTCCGGAGGATTCCGGAGAAATTTCTCGCGTTGATTAACATTTTGCCCTACGACCACGTCTGGGAGACGTGATCAGACAATCGGGCTAGAAATGATTGTAACGTCTCGGAGACGTGGTCGGATAATCGGGCCAGAAATGATTAGCACCTCTGGGACACGTGGTCATAATCAGATAATCGGGCTAGAAATGATCATTACGTCTGAGAGACGTGGCCAGATAATCGGGCTAGAAATGATTAGTACGTCTGGGAGACGTAGTCAAAAATTGGGTCAGAAATGATCATCACGTCTCAGAGACGTGGTCGAAAATCGGGCCCGAAATGACTATTACGTCTAAGAGACGGGGTGAAAAATTGGGTCAGAAATAATTATCACGTCTGGGAGACGTGGCCGGATAATCGGGCCAGAAATGATTGTCACGTCTAAGAGACGTAGTCAGATAATCGGACCATAAATGATTATCACGTCTAAGAGACGTGGTCAAAAAATCGAGCAAGAAATGATTGTCACGTATAAGAGACGTGGTCAAAAATCGGCCAAGAAATGATTATCACGTCTCTCAGACGTGATCAAAAAGATCGACCAAGAAATAATTGTCACGTCTGAAAGTCGTAATAAAAAGATCGACCAAGAAATGATTATCACGTCTAAGAGACGTGGTCAAAAAATCGGGCCAAATGTAAACATAACTAGTTAGACTCGTGTTAGATTAGGGAACACGTGTTTCGTGTTTTTTCATTTTTCGTTATTTAATTACGTGGTCGATCTCGTTCTATGCGTCACACGTTCTTAAAACCAAACTCATAGGGCAAAGGGTTAAGTTGGCCGAGATCGAACGTCTTTCTCTCGAGTGAAAAAATGAGCTCGTTTATTGGCGCCTGTTATCGGTGTCCCGTGCAGGAGCAGCAATAAAAATAGGAAATAAGATGCGAGCGGTGTCGAGGGCAATCGCTGAATCGATCGACGCCGGTAGTTCGAACGACTCTGTTTTCCCGGTAAAGGGTGGAATCGCGAGAATGGTGGACGGGCACGACGCGATGGATGCGACGGAGAATAGTGATGGACCTCGTGAGAAGGATTCGCGATCGGTGGTGGAGAGCAACGAGGATGCGCCGCAACAAACCGCCGCTCCGACGACCACCATAAGCACCATAGCCGTGCAGAGCGGTGAAACGCGTCTGGTGATCGCTCTACTTCAAGTAAGCCACTTCTCTCTTTCTCTCTCTCTCTCACGCCATATCTTATCTCGCAATTAAACGGCCGACGTATTAATCCGACCGTGCTCCGAACCGTTAGGTTATCGTTCTTTAATAGGTGCCGACGAGGACGGAGTTCCAGCGAGTTTTCGAAATGTATCTCGAAACTTTTCGAAAACCCAGCGAATCGAATCGGATCGATTCTTACAGTTGATGATGCTCGAATTGTTTCGAATAAATAGTTCTCGATAAATATTTAACCGAATATTTTATTCGAATAACGATTATTTACTGTCCTTAATAAATTATTCGATCTATTTGTTCGTAATAAATTATTCGCTCTATTTATTCCTAATAATTTATTTGTTCTATTTGTTCATAATAAATTATTTGCTCTATTTATTCGCAATAAATTATTCGCTCTATTTATTCGTAATCGATTATTCTATCTATTTGTTCCTATTAAATTTTTACTAACAAACGGGTTACAGATTAACGATAGCGCAAAAGAAAAGAAAAAAGACTAAAGTTAAAATTGAAAGTTATTTATCAGAGTGACCAGCGAACGTTTAAAATTATTCTATTCGTTCTATTCGTTATAATAAGCTACCCTATTTACTCGCAATAAATTATTCTATATATTTATTCGTAATCAATTTTGTTCTATCTATTTACCCGAATTTGTTCGAATGAATTCTTATTCGCCGCGTCTGAATAGCCTTTCAGTAGAACGTGCCCTCTTGTGCTGGCGTTGAAGTCACCGTGTCCACAGAGAGACGCGCGACGCGTCCGACCGTTTCCATCAGATTTCGTTCAATATCGTGGCGAATGAAAATAATCGTTCCATCGTGTTGCAAATAATTATACAACGATATTATATGTTATTTAAAATAACGTAAATTTCATTTCATTACTGACGCTCAGATTGTCCACTAAAATGGACAATTTGGGAAGAGGAGATACGGCTCGTTTGTATAATTGTGGACAATTTATAATTATAAAACTAAACCGCAAGGCTCGAATAATCGTATCTCCTCTTCCCAAATTGTCCATTTTTATGCGCAATCTGGGCGCTGTCTCTTATACACATCTAGATGTGTATAAGAGACAGCGCCCAGATTGCGCATAAAAATGGACAATTTGGGCGTCAATTAGAGAGACATTACTGTAAAAATTATGAAATAATCGAATCTCTTTGTGCTTCTCGAATAATATGAATTGACCGACGACGATCTTCGCCGCCGTTCTGGGCCGATAGCGATCGAGTGCCGCGGCAGTGGGGCAGCTAAATAAATGTGGGGGTGGGGAGAATATAAGCGCAAAGGTGTCTTCTTGTCGCGCGAGGACTATACGTTGTTCCGCGTACAGTAATGTCTCCCTAACTGACACTCAGATTGTCCACTAAAATGGACAATTTGGAAAGAGGAGATACGATTGTTCGAGCCTCGCGGCTCGTTTTTATAATTGTGGACAATTTATAACTATAAAAATAAACCGCAAGGCTCGAATAATCGTATCTCCTCTTCCCAAATTGTCCATTTTTGTGCGCAATCTGGGCGTCAACTAGAGAGACATTACTGTAAAAATTATGAAATAATCGAATCTCTTTGTGCTTCTCGAATAATATGAATTGACCGACGACGATCTTCGCCGCCGTTCTGGGCCGATAGCGATCGAGTGCCGCGGCAGTGGGGCAGCTAAATAAATGTGGGGGTGGGGAGAATATAAGCGCAAAGGTGTCTTCTTGTCGCGCGAGGACTATACGTTGTTCCGCGTACAGTAATGTCTCCCTAACTGACACTCAGATTGTCCACTAAAATGGACAATTTGGAAAGAGGAGATACGATTGTTCGAGCCTCGCGGCTCGTTTTTATAATTGTGGACAATTTATAACTATAAAAATAAACCGCAAGGCTCGAATAATCGTATCTCCTCTTCCCAAATTGTCCATTTTTGTGCGCAATCTGGGCGTCAATTAGAGAGACATTACTGTAACCACTTACATGGATCAACGAGTAAAATAGCATTTCAAATGCATTCGAAATGCGCCCGTCGTCCTATTACAGTGATAGTTGTCAAAGGAGCATCGAATGAGTATGACGTACGGTCTAGGAAGCGTTCGGCGACATTTAATCGTGCTGCGACATTCGTCAGGGCAGGGCGCGGCACGGCGCGGCGCGTAGCTTTGCAGAAGCGTTACGCGCGACCATAATCTATGGCTATGGTGTTAGATATTTCGGGAGCCGGTCGCTCGAGTCCATAGCTATTTTCGAGTCCTCTCGAAACGGCGAGCGTTTTAGGTAACCATCGAGCAAAACGAGGTCTCCGAAACTCCGCGAAGGATAAATTTAACCGGCCACGGTTCCTTCCATCGTGAACCCACCACCATGAACGAGGAACCGTCGTCTACCGTTCGTTAGGCCCACCGAAATAATTGGACGAGAGAGACTCGACTGGATCCCGTTGTTAACGGACACCGTCGAACGTCTAGGTCCAGACGGAGGGGGTTCCCGTGGGGGATGATTACGCAACCACCCTCTCGAGAACGAGATCTCAACTGTGTGCTCCACTTTGACCGATGTCGCGTTTCTTCGTTTGCTCGTCGCGTAATAATTAACGATCGTTGCTTGTTGATTACTGTAAATTCTTATAAATTAGTTACGAGAAATTCTTATAAATTAATTCTTATAAATTCTTATAAATTAGTTATTATAAATTCTTATAAATTCTAATAAATTAGTTATGAGATGTTCTTATAAATTAATTATTATAAATTCTTATAAATTCTTATAGTCATGATAAATTCTTATAACTTAGTCATGATAAATTCTTAAAAATGAATTACTCTAAATTCTTATAAATTACTTATTATAAATACTGACAAATTAGTTATCTTAAATTCTTATAAAAATTAGTTACTACAAATTCTTACAAATTAATTAGAAATTCTTACGAATTAGTTATAAATAAATTCTTATAAATTAATCATGATAAATTCTCATAAATTAATTATGATAACTAACAAGTTATAATTGTTGATGATTAGTCGAACCAAAAACAATCGTACAAATTATTAACAATTATAACTCGTTGGTCACCTTAAATTATTACAAATTAGTTCAATAACTACTGAGATTAATAATTTATAAATTATTAAATTAATTTATAAAAATAAATCAACAATGGTCGCGCGGTGTTTCGCCGTCAGCTTTCGCGGCCGCGGCGGCGACGACTCGCCCGTGTCTTCGCGCAATATCGATCGCCGCCATCTTGTAATTCAGCAATTTGTTCGACGCTAACGATTTCCACGCGCGCCGAGACACCGTCTGCCAACGCGAGATGATCTTTCACCTAAGTTGTTCGCGCGATTCGGCGGCGGATAGATGCGATCGCCGCGGCGGCGGCGTCCTCCGGCGTCGCGCGATCTTATCACGGGAACACGCGATAACAGCGACATAACTGGTTTGATATATTACATCACATCATGGTATTACCGGTTACAGAGTTACATCACGGCATTATCGGTTACACGCGGCGCGTCTCGTCCCGTCTCGTCTCGTCTCGTCTCGGCGTATTCATTTGCATCGCCAGCGAAACGTTTTCTCGCGATCCTTGGACCGAAATAATGACGCATTGTTCCGCGACCGGCGCCGCTCCGCTATTCGCGAATTAACCGTCCGTCCGGGGCCCGTTAATTAGCGCCGCTGAAATTTACAAATTATCGGTTAATTTCGTACTGGAACTACCAATTAGTCTTCGCTCTGTCTACCGCATTCTTCGAGCTTGCTCGTCCGCCGCGCCACGTTTTCTTCCCCTTCGATCGTTTTAAGACAAAGTGACTTTGATTTGTTCCGAGTAAACGTTTATCTAAGATAATTGTCCGAATGAATTCTTATTCGTCGAATTCATTATTCGTCATAAATTATATTATTATTATATTATTAATTATTCTGTCTATTTATTGGGATAAATTATTCTCTCTTTTTATCTATTCGAATAAATTGTTTTATCTGTTTATTCGAATATAAATTGTTTTATATCTATTTATTCGAATATAAATTGTTTTATATCTATTTATTCGAATATAAATTGTTTTATCTATTTATTCGAATATAAATTGTTTTACATCTATTTATTCGAATATAAATTGTTTTATATCTATTTATTCGAATAAATTATTATATCTATTTATTCAAATAAATTATTCTATCTGTTCATTCGAATATAAATTATCCTATCTATTTATTCATACAAATTATTCGCATAATTCTGTATCAGAATAAATTATTCGCACAATACTTTATTCGAATAAATTATTCGAAGAGAGCTCTTAACAAATTATTGGAATAACAACGCGAATAATCGTTGAGTCTTCGCTGTTGCATAAAAGATAATACAAATTAATTCATTGTAATTAAAATTTCTAATTTCTAACCTAAATTTCTATTAAAAATCTATTATAATATAAGATTTCTAATTTAAGTTTCTAGCAAAACTCGTTACAATTAAATTGTATATTAAAAATTCATTATAATTGACACGAAAACAGTTAATTAACATTGCTTGAAAACAAAATCTGTAAATTTTTTCTTACAATCGCATCGATGCAGACTCAAACATCGTGTAATTGTTTGGAACATTTCACTTCGAAAACATCGAACCGTGTCTCGCCTAAGTGAAAAAAGAAACTAATTATTCCAATTTATGGTAATTTTAACGAGGCCTAATGGAAGGCCTGGTAACGCGTACCTATTAAGAGTTAAACTTTCATGTACGTTAATCGTTCGCCGTATATTTCCAGCTGGCCAGATGTTTTCGTAAATATGTAGATACGCCGATGGAAACAATGATTTAGGCTAATTTTACGTGTACGCGCGATGCTATCTTCACGGTGCACCGTCAGAAGCGAAACTATTACCGCGAGAGTTTAACGTTCGTTCAGCCCGTATATTTACGCCGTTGTAACATCTTGGCGCAACAGAACAGTTTCGTAATCGAATTCA